GTATGGGTGGGTGTGGGTGTGTGTGGGTATGGGTGGGTGTGGGTGTGGGTGTGTATCCGTATGCGGTTCAAGGGTGCGGGTGTGGGTGTGGGGTGTGGATGTGTATCCATATGCGATTCAAGGGTGCGGGTGTGGGTGTGTATCCTTATGCGATTCAAGGATGCGGGTGTGGGTGTGGATATATAACTTAGTAGAAGGTCTGCATCCACACCCACACATCCAAACCCAAAGCCACACCCAGACCCGCACCCACCCCACATCCACACCCACACCCGCACCCACCCCACACACCCACACTCACACACCCAAACCCAAACCCACACCGACACTCCCACGCCCACGCCCACCCACACCCCAAACCCCACCCTTCTAAATAACAACAATTAATGAATACTGTCATATTTTCCGAGTGTTTCATGGCGGTAAATTTGATAAGCAACACTCAGCAATGATTTCTTTATGATTACTGGCAACACAGGCAAACGCAGCTGTTTGAAATCAACTTGCTAGCCTTTTCCGAATAAAAAATTCTTAGGATGATAGTATCTTTATACTTTTTCCGGTGGTTTCTACTTTTAAAGTTTTGTTTCATTGACTAACAAAACAAGTCTCTTCTCAACAAAAGTCTCTCAAGTCACAAAAAAAAGAAAAAGAAAATCGATGCACGAAGGAAATATATGTTTTTCCTGTTAACAATTGGTTTTTTTATCCACAATGAAGTTAATAGTGTATTTCTCTCTGCATCGATCACTCCGTTCGATTCGTCGCAGAGAAAAATGATATTGGTTTTTCTTATTTATCTTTATACGCACTACCAATGAACTATCTCAAATATTGCTTGTTACCGTCTCTCCCTCATCCAACAAACTGAGAAAAAATACAAGTTACTGAGTTCTAAAAGTTTCTATGAGTGATATTATCGGTATCTATGCTGGTACAGAGAAAGTGGAGATGATAATTTTCGAGCTCGTTATAGGGAAAGACAGAAGGCTCTTCATTGTAGATAAGGGTGATCAACGAAGAAGGTAATGGGTTGAGAATAGTGCTGAGGAAGATGGGTGATCAATGATGTAAGAAAGCGAGAAAGACAAACTTTAGACGTAGATAGTTAGAAGGCTGATATGAATACTCTATACACTACCTAAATTTCTTTTGAAAGCAGCAGATCAGATAAAGTAAGTCATATTTTTACAGCGCTGTATGACGATATGTTTCAAGCAATACTTACCAATGATAATCTTGCTGCTATCGGTGGCACCTATACACACTGTTGATTGAAGTGAATTTGCTTATTTTTTTCCTGAGTAAAAACCCTTCAATGATGCAAACTATTCTTATAATTTTTTTCTGATTCTTTGCATGTCTAGATTACATTCGATTGACTGGGAAAACAATTCCTTTACCGAAATCTTTTCCGAGAGTGGAATAAAAACCAACCGACAAATCAAACATTGTCATTTTCGATGATAAAGTTGCGCTATGTTTACTTTATAATGAAAGCATTGATGAATTTTTTTCTCCATCGCTCGCTTTCGCTCGAGTTGACACTGGGAAGAAAAATGTTGCTTTTGTAGTTCACCTATTTGCGCATTATTGATCGACTGTAAGAAAAAAAAACAAAAGTCGCTACACATTCTAAAAGGAAACTATGCGACTGTATGCCTTTTTTGTTTGTCGTTCTTGCCGAACAAAGATTGGTTGCATAGGCTGTAATAATGAAAAGTATGTTTCTATCAATACCGTAGCCCAAAGAGAGTTATTGTAGGAGAAAAGCAATGATGGTTCCGAACAAACAGTGTGATGTTGTTGTCAAGTGTCTCGTATGACTGCTCTTTCCTTGAAATGGTGACGAGAAAAAGACTTGAGCGTGTTGATCTGGTGAGCAAGACAGCGAAAGGGTATAAATGACAGCAGATTGCGATAGAGGTATTATTTATACCTCTACTATTTCCTAGTCTATACTATGTGATTTGTTTCCAGTTCAAAAAGAAGAAAGCGAATACTTCGCATTTCTTTATTTATTATTCTTTAACGAAGGTTGGACAGGGTGTGAGTGTGGGTGGGTGTGGGTGTGGGTGTGGGTGTGGGTGTGGGGT